ACAGATATTTTTTAGTTACATAAACAAGAGAATAGAAGCTTAGAATATATAAAAAAAGTCCGAAAGAGGAAAAAATATACTGTACAAAATTTGTAGAGTACCTTTAAAAAAATAATAAGCATGTTTATAGTTTGATTTCCTATTCACAAATCAAATAAATAAATGTTCCATTTACACTTTCTGATGATTGACTACATTCGGAACTGTGCTTTTGAAAAAGCGTTTAAATGAATAATATTTTTTTATATTTAGTGTCAGTTGAATAAGAAAATATACATATAAATTACAAGAAAAATTATTTAAATGCAGTTTTTGTCAAAAAGAAGAGGAAGAAAAAATGAAATATGTACAAAATATTCTCCTATTTTAAATGCTTCTATAATAATATTTCAGCTACATATATAGCCTGATACTTCTAGCGCAGGGTATGTCATACACACCGTCTAACTTTTTTCAACGTTCCTTTTAAACCTTTTTTTGAAAAAAGGATAGTTTCTCGTGTAGCTGACTTTATAGTCATATCCTTTAAGGGACCTTAGCTTTTAAGCAAATTCTAAAACACATTTTTGGATACCGCTTCTTCGTGTATGTCACACCCTGGGAGGTAATCGCCGTTACAGTTCTAAATGCATGAGAACGTTCGCATTCATTCACGTCGAGATTAAAAGGGTGTATAAACAATGCACTGAATGTCCTGTGACGGGACATTACGGAGTCTTTCAACTAATCCTCTTGGGGAATCTTTGGGGCCATCTATTGAGTTATTTCACAGCCAACCCTCTCAAGAAGAAACCCTGATATGCAGATTAGTTAGTAGATATATAGTAGAGGTTTAGTAATTGAAAGAGAAGAGGAGGAAAGGAAGCTGAGTTGTTGAACGCCGTGAGCTTATGGTAAGGATCTGAAATAAAAAGCGTAATTATAGAACGGGCTTTAGCGAGTCAAAGAAATTAAGGAAGTTGGGATTATTAGGATAACTTTACTTAAAGTTAAGTGGTTAGAATTCCAGAGGCGCTTATTCACATAAGATTTAGGGTTACTATATATCACTCATGATTTCCTTCCTAGAGTAAGATTGTTTTTGATTATTATAATTGATAATAATAAATTGGTTTTTTTTATTATGGCTAGCTTGGGTCATCAGTCATTACCTCACACAAATCTAGGTCGAGTAGATGAAGATGTGGTTTCCCCGAGTAGGGGGGTATCATAGCCCTTATAAAAAGAACAGTAAAACTAAATTTACGTGAGAAAAAATAATAAATATATTGTATTTCCTACTTTTCTTCCTTTTTAACTTTTGTATACAAATTTTACGG